GGGTCTTCTCCAAAGAGATAACTAGCATACAAACGCCAATAGGTGGCGGTGAATGGCAGTATACGTGCACACTAACAAAATAACTGCAGCTGGCCTAACTTTTTAGCCACAACAATATGTTTGAAGATAGCGAGGTGCATTTCTTCCCATGAGAAAATCCTAACAAGGCACAGAGTGCCTTTGTGGAATTCCACTTTCCTGCCCTTTACCCTGATCCGCAGGGAGCCTCAGCTACTGGGGAAGTGGATGTGTTTCCAATCTAGCAGTTATTGGTGCATCGACAAAAGCAGCAATAGCCAGTCTGTCGTCCTCATCTCTTGCTGCCCTGGGTCTGTGATGTTGCCCTCACTTTGAGAGGGCTCCCAAAATCAGATTTATCTTAAAGTCTTTGTTTTGTGGCCCCAAGGAACATCGAACAGGGTTAGGTGTTTCAGTTTCTCCAGGGCATGATAACTGCCTGAGAGTTTCTTGACTGTTTCATGGGAGCATCTGATAGTCTGTTATATTGCAGGCAGGCCATGTGCATTCAAAATTGTATCAGTCGAATTTTGCCCCAAGGAAAACTGATTGGTGACTTGTTACTGACGTTACATCGATGCATCTGAAATAATTAGAAAGGGTTGTCCAAATGTATTGAAGGAAGGTCTCTTGCCTCTTTTTCTAGGAATAGGAAATGATGTCTCCTGCTGTTTGTTTTCTCCTCAGTTGAGCTGCCTGATGCTCAGCCACCCAGCACTGAGCAAGTGGAGAAGCTGAAAGAGTTTGCAGGGGATGATAACGGACATGAAGCAGTCCACCATGTGGCTACTGCAGCCTTTCTTTATTTGTACTTAAATGTTGCATCTAAATGTGGGTAAGACAGTGAATCTCACCTTTGCTACGTGGCTTTTTCGCTCCTGACAGTTGGGATTGCCAAGTCTGTCTTCCCAACCTCCGCATGATGAAGTTGGAGGCATTGATTCAGGGTGTGGAGCTAGCCTGCCCTACTCTGTGAATTTCAGGAGGGTTTGGTAAATGTGCAGATGACTGTTAACATGGACCCTAAAGCATGTGCATTACAAATAATAGAGAAAGCATGGGGTACAGCAAAGGAAGAGTGACTGAAAGACAGCAGAGGAAGAGTAAATGTTTTTATTATCATTACATGAATTTAAAATCAAGCTAGTGGGATTAAGGGATTATTTGCAGAAAATTATGACTCCTTCATGATTGGTGAAATAAAATCAGAGTGCAGGCTGTATCTGTTTTAAAAAATCAGGAAACTAGGAGTGAGCAATACTTATTACTTGTTTCTAAGGCACACTTCTGGAAAAACCAAAGGAGAAGATAAGCAAAGAAAAGCCAGTTTTGTGGCCTTACTTTTTCTGTAAGCCAGTTGTGACAGATCATGAAGGCGGAGACTGTTTAATTCTGCTCAGTCTGAGGAAAGTAATTGGTGAAATTGTGAAACTGAATTTTTGCAATGTTCTCATCTTTCAGGTTTCTGCCAACTGTTGACATCTTGGTGTGGTCTGAGCTGCCCACTGGCGCTGGGTTAGGCTCCAGCGCAGCGTACTCTGTCTGCCTGGCAGGGGCGTTGCTTTCTGGATGCGGAGCCATCAGTTTTCCTCTGCAGGAGGGCCAAGTTGTAGCTAGGTAGGAGTTAGGAAAGAGCGTAGTTGGGAAATAGGGCGCCAGGTGGTTTGTTTCCACCTGTCCAAGTAGAACCGGGGATGTGTTTTGGCAGCAAGGGGAGGAACGGAGGTGGCCTTTTGTCATCTTAAAGCCCTGCCTTGGGCTCTTGTTGCACAAGGAGAGGATTGTAGTTCTGGGGTTGTATGCAGAAAATCCCAGGTGGGCCAGAAGCAGCAGGTCAAAGGAGGACCCTGGAGGGCTGCTGAAAGTGTGTGGTGACAGGCTGATCCCGACTGAGGCCACTTCTGCTCTTCCAGGTGGACTGAGGAGGAGCTGGACACGATCAACAGGCTGGCTTTCCGAGGAGAGCAAGTGATCCATGGGAATCCTTCTGGGGTGGACAACGCTGTGAGCACATGGGGTGGGTGTTCTCTTCTTTTGCATTTCTGAACTGGCTCAGGCGCAGCGAGGGGACTGTGTCCCCTCTCTTAGGTGCTGGACAGAGCTGCCTATGGGAACGACACTAAATGTTCCTTATGATTCCAAGAAAAGATTTCGACTACTGTAAATCCCAGGGCCTCCCTTTCTTTGGTTTATGACAAAGGAGTAAATAGCCAGATGTCTCCCTGTTGCTAGTTCCTGTGAATTTGAGTTATTTTGCAGAATATAGGAAGATAAAATGTCCCAGGAAACAGTTCTTTTTTTCCTTCTTCCCCAAATGTTTAGGTGGAGCCTTACGGTATTTTTCAGGAAAAATCTCCTCATTAAAAAGGTAAGGTTCATTTCAGCATTAATGTTTAGATAGTTTTAAAGAGAATTGGTTGATTTAATAAAGTCATTCTTTAAAGAATGAGTTGTATTGTTTAGCATGACCGTGTGTGAAAATATTTCGTTTGAGAAAAAATACTTTTCTCCAGGGTTTTGATTTACAGAATGATCAATGGGTTAAAATGTTTTGATTTTAAAAAAATGAATAGCCTTGATAGGCTGATTAATTTATTTAAGCAGAAGAGAAAAGTCTTGCTTTTGAAGAACAGCGTTACCAGCCTTCCAGTGATCTCACTCTGTGTCTGAGGCATCATGTCATGAAGGTTGCCTTTTGCAAGCAGGCAGAACGTAAGGGAGTTTGCATGCTGAAAATTGCCAGAGTGGGTTTGGCAACGGCTCCCACCCCGTACCTTCTGCTGGCATGGCCTAATCGGACTTCATTAAAATCTTTCGCAGGGTGTGAAATTGCTCTATTAGCAGCTAATGTTAGACACCAGTTATTCTTGTTGGCAGTTATTAGAAAACAAAGTTATTTTGGCTTGCAAAATGTGGGCCTTGGTTGGGTCGTTAAAAGACCACTTGCGACACGGTAAGCTAATTCTAACGAAAACATGCCTCTAATTGATGATTAAGCTTAGCAGGCGAAGGTCCCTTACTGGCACGACACTGCGGCTGTCTAGCATTCGCAGGAACAGAAGTGAAGGGCATGAGATGCTTCAATCCTTCTATGCGGGGGGGAACAATGGGCTTGTAATTTCACCTACTTGGAGTGGAGATGCTTGTAGAAAACTACAAGAGGGAAATTCTCGCCCCTCTCCCAGGCTGCAAACTTCTGGTTCCTTTGGGGGGAAATAAAAACAATATCTTCCTCCTGTAGCTATGCCCGGTGGGTCTGCATTCTTGGTTATTGGGATAGCAACTCCCAGACTGTTGACTTGATTTTTAAGAGTCTGTTTCTCCCCAGTGTGCCTACCCTGCGGATTTTACTGACCAACACTAAAGTTCCACGGAGCACCAAGATCTTGGTTGCGAGGGTTAAAGACAGGCTCCTGAAGGTATGTATTCTCACTCCTCTTCCAAGGAATTGTGACTGCCTGGGATTTATAGTTGATGACATGCCAAAATATTTTAACGTATAGAGAGGATGATTTGGGGAGAGTCTGCATAAGAAACACAGCTGTGTCAGGAAGCAGGAGGTGGCTGCCTCAGACCCCGCTGCTTCAGGGTGTTTTGGCAGAATGGCCAAGAGTTCTTTAAGCAGCACTCCCAGGGTCTCTGTCCCCTGACTGTTCGGCATCATTTTAGCAGAATATTCTTTGCAGCTCTGTGCTCAAATACACCATTCAAGCATGTTCCTTTTCTGTTTCTCATTTCCTGCTGACGTTTAATAGAAGCAGGTGGTTTTTAAAAAGTAAAGCCTATAACCATTCCAAGTTAGGCTGGATGCTAAGAAGACTCTTTTTTGATTTTTTACGTCTTTCCTTTTTTTCTTTTTGCTCTTCCTCTCCACCCCCACCGGCCACCATTTTCCCTCCTGCAGTTTCCTACTATAATGGAGCCAGTGCTCACTTCAATAGACGCAATTTCTCGGGAATGCGAAGGTATTCTTGAGGCAATGGCTCACGATCCATCACAGGAACACTACTCCATGCTGGAGGTAAGCCCTTATCTCGATTCCTTCCTTTGCTCTCATACCATGAGGACTAGGACCCTGCTCTTAAAGCAGAAAAACAAGCTAGGTTTTTTTCCACACTCAATTCTGCCTGAAGCGTGTTCCATCTGTACCTGCGATTCTTCTGTTAAACCTCAGCCCAAATTTGGAAGATCAGCAGCTTTTCCTTGCACTCCGTATGCTGCCTCCCGCCCAGATGGCCTCTTTGGAGGCCCTGATGCTCTGAGGCACGGAAGTTGCAGAGCTGTGCTCCCCCTTCCCTCTCCCGACAGCGACAGCGTCTCTGCCTTTCCAACAGGAGCTGGTGGACATCAACCAGCATCTTCTGAACGGGATCGGAGTCGGCCACCCTCTGCTGGACCGCGTCTGCCAGGTCGCTTCCTCCCACGGGCTCCATAGCAAACTGACAGGTGCGGGGGGAGGCGGCTGCGCCATCACTCTACTACCACCAGGTGAGGCATCCTCGTCTAGCCTTTCCCTTCGCTCGCACCGGTTTTGTTCCTGCTCTTGAGTTCTCTGCCGGCTGTGAGCAGGTTGAGCGTCATAGCCAAATGCTGAGCAAAAGAGCCAGTTGGCCCACAAAGGTCGCTCAGGACGAGTAACAGTAAAACCAGTTAGATAAGTACGCTGCTGTAGCTTTCCCTGAACCACAGCCCTCCACGTGTGTTGCAATGCAGCTGCTGGGGACGTACTGGCTTTCAGCTGTACACACGTACTTTCAGCTGCTTACCCCATCCATAACATGGGCGTGCTTTAGGGGGTAAACAGTTGGTGTTTTGATGAATCAGTAAATGTCACACTTAAGGTAAATGAAACCATTCTGAAATCCTACTTAAATTCTGCTGAAGTTGCTCGTTGAAAGTGCCTGTCTGGATGGCCATGCTTGCCATCTGTGCGTGATCCAAGACCGGCATTTGTGGTTTGCGCACGTCCCCGTCCTCCTCTGCCTGTGCATGTGGCTCTTTTTTAAGCGTTCCAATTCCTTTTGCTGCAGTTTTGAGTGCAAGTAATTCTAAATTGCTTTGGGCTCTGACTGGGGGCGGGTGGCTCTGTACCCAACCGTGATATTTTGAGAGTCTAACTCGGAAGTGACCTCTCTTGGCAGACACTGCTCCTTCGGTGGTGGAAGGTGCCATCCGAGACCTTGGCAGCTGTGGGTTTGAGTGCTGGGAGACGGATATTGGGGCGCTCGGAATAAGCGCACACTCCCTGCCCTCCCTGAAAACAGAAGTGCAGAAGGTTTTGAAGGGGAGCTAATGGTGGCAGTGAAGACTGACTCCCCCGCCTGGGAACTGCCCTAACTTGGAGTGGACCCCCCAGGCATCTTCCGAGGCAGCCTGGCGGTACTCTGTCGGTTTGGGATGGGTGCATGCTCAGTGGGACTGGGGGCTGCTGAAGTACAAGGGGGCCGAGGGGCTGGTAGCTGCAGTCTTCCTAACCGCTCCCCTGCCATTGCCTTGGCTGCACCTGATAACAGAGCGGTCTTTGGCCATGCTAATGTGAGCTAAGACCTGTTGCCCACTGCCGGGTCACAGACTCTAAGAAAGCCAGGCAGGAGGGGGAATCCCTCCCCCACCTGTCACACCCCACCTCCCCAAATCATTCCTTGGTGATTTTCTCACAATGCTACTGGACAGTAAAGCTCCCCTTAACCTCCCCACCAATGCTTTTTCCTTTGCTGTCTGCAGTGATTCAGAAGCTCCCCACCCAACCCCAAAAAAACCTGTCCAGTTGCGCTCTGCTGCTGAACAGGAACAAGGCCTGGCAAGTTTGCTCTGGGAGATCAAGTTGTTAACTGTCTCTCTTCTGACTTGTCCCTATTTTTTAATGCTTCCTGGGGAATATTCCAACACGAGCATTACTGCAACTGCACGGGGGGGGGGGGGGGGGGGGGCAGGCTCCCTTGTTAATGAAAGCTAAGTGGCTTGAAATGGAATGACAAATGGGACCTGCTGAATACCCTCGAAGAAAGCGCGTTTCTGCCGGGGCTCAAGTTTGTTTTGTTGCATTTGGCCAGTTAATCAACTCAAGCTTTCTGTTGCCGGTGGATAGCCTGCTGAGTCAAAAGCTTGCAGGTTGAGGGGATGCACTTTATGGGGTTCTGAATAAAGGCTGGGTATTAAAGGTGCCTCTTCTGATTGTGGCTGGCAGCTTTTGTTTAAGGACTTCCCTCGGTCCTTGGCTGGGCGTTTTCCCAGCAGCCACCGGGCAGGCCCTGCTGGAGCCAGTGGGGTGCTTGGCCTGGATCTGGTATTTCGCTGCGTGGTTTGAGCAAGGTTTTTCGGCAGCCTCGGACACTTTGCTGAACACCAGAGGGCATCAGAAACCCACTTACGGAGAAGCCCTCACAAAGCTATTAGAGGTGCAGCGTTTCTGGCAGCCGGAAGGCTCTCTTAATCTTGCAAACGTGGGAAAGGACGTCTCCTCTCCGTGGCCCAGATCACCATCTCCTGAGAGAGAGACCGGCTTGCTGGGGGCCAGCCCCATCGCTCCCCTTGGAACGTCTGCGCTGCTGGGGCCGGTTCTGTGCCGGCCTGGGAAGATGGCGGAGCAGGGGAGGCCAGGTGTGCTGTCCCCTCCTTGTAAGTGGCGGAGCAGGCCAGTTGAGGGGGCGATTTCTTTGAGCATAGAGACCCCCTCGTATCGGCAAAGGGGGAGGGAAGCCTGTTGCCTGCAGAGGCCTCAAAACCGTTCTGGGAATTCTTGCAGCAGCGGCTGCCACACTTATTCCTCTTCACACATTCCTCTTCATCCTGATTATTCTTAAATTTCGTCCTTTGCCAGAATCCCAGCAGGGCATGAAGGTAGGCCAGAGACCCTTATCGACCCCCAGCCAAGAGAGTGGCCCCTGCCCCAAGGAACATCCAGTCTGAATCACCAGGTCTACAGTCCCCCCAGTACTCCTTGGCTGAGGTTTAGTGCCCCCCCGGGCCAGTAACAGCAAGCGGCTTGAGGCGGCCTCCTGACCTTCCTGCTGCTCGGGCAGCCCCGGTGCTTTACGTGGGGAGATGACTAGGGCAGAGAGGAGGGGCACCTGCTTGGCAGATGGAAGTCCTGGGATTTCCCCTGGAGGCTGCTGGGCAAAGTGCTCACGGTTAAGATGATCTCTCTCCAGGTTGTGGGCAGGGTCCCGGAGTTGACCGGGAAACTTGTGGAGGTCGGACCCCCCCTTCCCTCTCCTCCGCCTCCACTGGCCTCCTGGTGGGCCTGGGTAAATGCGGCCTGTGAGCATTGAGAATCCTGGTTTAGCTCTTGCTTCTTCATCCTAAATTAGTTTAACGCTTAGCATGTTGCAGGAACGACAGCACTGTGGCTTGTTCAACAAACGGTAGTTAAAAGAAACCATGGCTTGGTAGGATGTACAAACTCAGCCACATTGGAGCAGGAATTTAAAATGGGTTGTGTTGTTCTGCTGGACAGTGCAATCCCACCCAAGGCGAAAAGGGAAATCTTGCATCACACGCCCTCTTTCTGGCCCTGATTTGAGAAATGGGGATAATTGCACGTGGAGCAACTGTGTACGGATTGTGGGGCTGAGAATTGCAAAAGACGGCAGAAGCTGCTGCTCGGTAGCGGAACGAAAAAAATCATTAGTGAGGGAAACAATTAAGACCTATACAGAAGAATTGAATTTAATAGACCCTTGGCGCATGATGTATCCAACTAAAAGAGAATATACATTCTACTCAAGTGTACACCAGAGCTTCTTTTTAGGCTTGATTATTTTTTAATATCAGGCACTTGCCTCTTGCCCACAGCCCGCTTCTGCCCTCAAAGGAGATGCCTGTCCAGCTCATCCCCCATTTGGCCTTCGCATCCAGACCTCTCCTGTCAGATGTGTGTTACGGGTTGCTGAAGGATTGGGCTGGTAATTTGGCTAATTTTTCTCAAGCTTCATTTTTCACCTGGTGAGCATTGCACAGAGAAGACTGATCATTCTCCCCGCTGCCTCTTAATGACCGGAGCAGCCCAGGAAGGCGGAAGAGAAACGAGCTCGCGATGCCACAGCAGAGATCCTGCCTCACCTCGGGAAGCAAAAACGATGCAGCAGCCAGGCTGGGTGGGAGGATTTGGCAGTCCCTGGCAGAGATCAATTGCACACGGGCGCAGGAATGCGAGCCGGCTAGACGGAGCCAGGATGACCATCTGCTCCAGAAAGCTGTTCAATTTTAGAAGAGGGACCGAACTGAGTCCGGGTGCATGGTGGCGTTTGGCCTCCTGAGGCACGAGAGTCCAGGGTTCCAGAAAAATACAGGCTGGTGGCCTCTGGGGGTCCTGGTTATCTAGGTCAAATGTTGGACTTTGTCTGCATCCTGGCTTGATTACGGCTTTAGGCAAAACGTCCTGAAAAATAGAGCTATACCTGAGCAGATTAGCCCCAAAGGCTGAAAATCCTCAACTCTTGGTAAGTGTCACTGAAATCGGTGGTTCTCCTGAATCAGGCTGCAGAGAGTTCGCCTGCCAGCGGCGTTCCCGGCCTGTTTGTGAGCTCGCTGTCGCTCCTGTGAATGGTGACTATGACGAGGCAATTCAGCAACGTGAAAGAGAAACTAAACGGTTGCCATTGATCATGAGGCTACTTACACCCTTTCAGATTATTTGCTTAGCTATTTTAAAAATGCATGACCTGCCTTTCGGTTTAAATCTAGTTTGCAGCAACTTGCCAGTAAAAGCATCAAAATCATAAAAACAGTTGAGCACATAGCATTGAATAATTGAGCAATAGGCTAGTAATTAGAGCTTACTAAAATCAGCCTAACCCCTTATTAACAGCCAGTAAAATTGTTTTAACATAACCCCTGAAACCATGCTCCACAGCCAAAAGCCCCACTCTGTCTGAAAGGTGGGGAGCAATCTGCCCCCTCCCCTGCACAAGCTTGCCTTTGGCCACGCTCGCTGGAAGTGATGGGAGGGCAGCCCGGAACGTCTGCTGGACCCCCGTCTGAGCCGTTTTCTCCTTCCTGGGTGGGATTCAGCCCACCCCTCTCTACCAGCAGCCCGGCTTGGGGCCCTCCCCCATCTCGGCTTGGGCGCCCTTTCTGCCCTGGGCCCACGGCAGCGCCCCCTCTGCCCCGTTAACCTTGGCGGGGACTCCTCTGCCTTCCCGTGGAATGGCAGGTGCGGGAGAGATGGGCTGCGAGGCGCAGATGGTTTTTTTCATAATCATCGTCAACAGCGGCTGCTTTCCGCTCTGATGGATAGATTCTAGGGAGACAATGGCGTTACGCGAGATAAGAGGAGAGAGAAGGGTCAGGGATAGAAGCAGGGAGCTGAAAGAATGGGACTCCCTGGGCTGTTTGGGGTGGGGAGGGAGACCTCATCCTCATCCTCCCCCCACCACCACCCCCCTGGCCTTGAAGAGTTAGCAGTCCAAGTAGAGTGGATCTGAGGGAGGGTGACAGAGATTGTGTGGCTCAAAGCCCCCTCCCCAAACGTTGCAGCGCTGATGTCGCTTTGCACTCCACTTTCTTAATCCTGAAGAAAACTGACCCCATCAGTGAGAAACTGTGTCTGGGTTGACACTTTGTGGCAAGCCATAATTGCCTGAGTTTGTACACACACTAAGCCATGATTTACAAGCCGCAGCGGCTGGTTCCCTGTACGCACTAAGCCAAAACCAAGCTACTTAGGGCTTAGCTTTGAGAATCGGTCAGATTTTCCATCATGGAGCGAGACGGAAATGGGCCACCCCCAGTGCTCGGGAAGCCATCAGCCTCAGCACGTCCCCTTTCAAGGCCGAGCCGCTTCTGGAGCCCTCCAAGTGGGTCAGATCAGCCTGTTCCCAGGGTGGAAGGACTTGCAACTCTTAAGGGTGTTAAATTCTGGTCAGAGCCAGGTTGATGAAGATCAGATCTAGAACAGCGTGCCCTCCAAAGCGGTGGGGCACGGTCCTAGAGCAAGCCTTGCTGTTTCCTTCCTGGAAGTATCAGAGAAGGTCCTTCATCCTACTTCAAGAAGTTATCCGCTTCCATGGTCTCCCTGATCAGACCATTGCACATCTTGAGGAAACGCCATGTTGCCCACGCTGCCACTTTCTGCGTACATGTGTCTTGACGGCTCTCTCGAGACTGCCCCTCAGGAGCCACTGGTTCTGGGGAAGCCCACCCTTGGCTCCAGAGCCACCAAGGGTATCTCAAAGCTCTCCGCGGGGAGGAGGCCACGTTGCTCACATGTTGTCCATCAGGGTCCTGCCAACCTGTCCGGAATTAGCTGTACTGCACTGGGGCCTAGGAAGAGCAGACGTGGGTGTCATTAGCCAGCATGGCTGACCGTTGAAGGTGTCGAAATCTCCGCTGTGGGCCAGGTGAATTTCTGCATCTTCTTGACTTGACAAGAAGGCCGCTTCAGACAGACCCTCACCCCTCATTTGGGAGGCAAGATAGTGCAGACGGGCCCTTGGCTTCCTTCACCAAGCCAGGGAAGGGGACCAGTGGCAGCCTGTTACTCTGATGGATTTAAGGCATGAATCCTCCCCCCGCCCCCCCCCCATGGTGCAGTGAAGGTTTTGAAAGTTAAGTATTACTGTCGGCTTTGTTGTTGCCGAACTACGACAGACAAATTGAGAACTAGTTGTCAAAATGTCAGTGCACAACAAATCAACATTCAAAATGAGTCTCGGTGCAATGTGGTGTATAATTAAAAAAAAATCCTTTTTAGAAATTTCGGCAAGCATTGGCTTGGCTTTATATTTGTCTGTGTGATTAATAAAGGCAGCTAATTTTCAGACTTTAAAAACAGCTAGAAAATAGCTCCTAATTACATATTAGGCTCCGAACAGCCCCCGCTGTGCTCGGCTGGTATTGGTGGGCCAGGAATTTTGGCAGGGGCTTAATTACATTCTGAGAGCTTCATCTAATTTTAGTTAAATGTAATGTAATCAGCAGCAGATGTCTTGAAATAAAATATGAATTATGAATATGAAGAAATTTCTTTAAATAATTTTTTAAAAAATAATTTGCCATTGAGTTTTCCCTAAAGCAGCGCAGAACTCGGTAGGAACAGGCTGGAGCCTCGGGGAACTGGGATTGAATTGCTGGGTGGTGGGGAGCCGAGGCGGGGGCTGTGGAGGAGGCACGGGAGCGCAGGCCAGCAGGCACCCCAGACAGATGTTTTCAGGTGGGGGCATCC